GGTTCTGAACTGTGTTTGAGCGACTGGAAAAGGCACTAGAGACGGTTGTGCGAGTTTCCATGCCCTACTCCTAGAGACCTGATCCAACGGGGGAGGGGGGGGGGCTGGGGGTCGGGGGAGGGAATCTGCATTTTTACACTCCCTGGATTTACAGTTGCAAGAGTGAAACCAGGTCCCTTATGACTTTGATTAAATTAAACTTTAAATCCTAATTATAGAAATTATCTCTCTCTTTATAGATACACCCCTCAGAAATGAGCCTTTCCCCCAGACAATCCCCCCACGTAGCAGAAGACAGGAGCCCAAATCTGACTAATGATCACAGTGTGGGGGCCTCTGGTATCTTGACCAGATGCTGGGGTCCAACCCCAGCGGGTCCAGGGGACCGGCTTCCGGCAACCAGACCGAGGGATGCCAGCAAGAATCTCAGAGCAAGACCTGAAGAAATGACTCACTGCCCTTACCTCACCTCCGACCAAGGAGCTCTCATCATGAGCCCCCTAATCCATAGTGTCTTGTGATTTTGCCCTGTATAATCTGTAACCTACACACCATCAGGGTGTTAGGGCTTTTGCTCAAAAGCTTCCTGTTCTCCTGGGTGGCACCATTCATCATAAAATAGCCAGTATTTCTCCCCTGCAGTTCTCCGTGCCTAGTGTTTGGCTCTGTGAGTGCTGTGCTGTAGGACTCTTCGTGTTCTATTGCAGGAGTCCCTATACCACAAATGGAGAAACACTATCCTAGAGGTGTTTGGAAAAGCAGTTTCCTATTTACTTGCAGAAGATAATGTAGTGAATCAGACGATCTAGAATAGAGGGAAATAAACACAGGACACCTGGATTTAGGGTATCTCTTTGATCAGCTCTGGGATATTTCTTGAATCACATCATTGAGCCTCATTTCTTTCCTTTTAAAATGGCCTAGAATGAACTGACTTTTTCCTTCCATCCGAATCATAGAAAACTGTGCCATGGGGAGATCCATTCTTACCTTCATCTAAGGCAGTGGTTCGCAACCTTGGCTGCACATTAGAATCACCTGGGAATCTTTTTAAAATCCTGATTTCTGGGCCTCATCCTCCGGAAATTCTGTTTCTTTGTTATGGGGTGGGGCCACAACATTAGTAACAAAGAAACAGAATTTCCGGAGGATGAGGCCCAGAAATCAGGATTTTTAAAAAGATTACCAGGTGATTCAAATGTGCAGCCAAGGTTGAGAACCACTGATCTAAGGTGTGGCCCTAAGGAGTGAGTCGCCATCGAAAAGTGGTCCTCACCCTCCAAATAAAAACCCCGATAGCCTAGTCCTCCCAGTCCCTGCCCCTTCTCTCCAACGTGAGCTTAACTGAAAGGACTGAGACATTTCACTCTTTTGGACTTTGTGCCCAGAGCTGGGACATGCTTGGCACTGGATTTTGGCACCTGGGTAATGACCTTACTGTATGCAAACACTTGAGTAAGTGATTTGCCCTCTGAACCCCGTCTTACCTAGAAAATGAGGCTAGTAAAAAAAAATAACAGTTCTTCCTGCCTAGAGCTATGGGAAAGATGATAGGAGATAATGTATATAAAGCACTTAACAGGACACTACCTACTACTGATCTCATAGAAACTGGTACAACTGTGATTACTGGTAAATTAGTGCCACAATTTTAAGTGGATTTTGAGTGGGTGAAGGGGACCACAGAGTTTCTCAGTGGATGGGACAGAGGAGGGCACCCATGAACCAGCTAACAGGTGCTGGGCGTTTCCCCATGTGGCTCTCCCTTTGACAATGTTTAGCACTGCTGGGGAGGATCACCTAACTCCGGTGGCCCACACAGCCTCTGGGAACAGGACACGCTGGTGTGGGCTTTAGTCCAGCATACTCCAGCATGCCCCTCTCGGACGCCCTCAGGTCAGTGCTCTGGACACCCTCAAGCACAGGTCGCTGCAAAACCTCTTGGACAGACCGAGGTTCTGGACAGCGGCAGGTTTTCTGGTCAAGCTTATCCATGCAGGTACAATTGATATTACTCATGGCCAGGAGCCCATTCTACAGGAAAAGGTGACTGAGGCACTTGGCAGTGAGTTCCTCTGACTCCTCTCCGCTGCAGGGGATTTGGGAGCCCTTGGGTCTTCCTTTCCTCACTGCCTGAGTGGTCACTTGGGTCCTTCCTCCCCAGTATTGATGTTCTTTGTGAACGGTGACACTGAGAGGAGCTTGGCGTGCAGGATTAAGTTTAGAGAAGCAGAGGGCCACCGCTCGCTCAGGCGAATAGCCAAGCCCCCAAAGCTCTCATGGCTTTTATTTGGGGAGTACAGCAAATAACAATGGAGTACAGTAAGTGACAACGATGAACAGGCATGCTTATGAGATCATCTAAGCTAAGTTATACATTACACTATTAATTTCCTATGTTATACAAAGACCCTTTCCACCTGCAGCAGTGTACTCTCCCTTGAACTTTCCATTCCCTCATGGACTATTTATCACGTCAAGGGAAAAATAAGTCTTGCGTGCAAGACTTTGTTCTGACGTGGCCCGCTTGCAGGCCCCCGCCTTTTCCTGGCAGAGCGTCCTCTTCTAGTTAACTTTTCATTCCACTTGTCCCAACTACACCCAGGCAATCAATCCCTCCCACAGCTGTTTGATGGGAAAGGCTTCTTCTTCTCTGTCCTCTCTCTTCTGAGGTTCTGTGTGATGGCCGAGCTCCAATTGGTCTGTATGCACTTTTTGAAATCGTGTGCTAAGGTTATAGTTTACCTACAATAAAATGCACCCATTTTAAGTGTCCAGTCCGATGTGTTTTGCCAAATGTATATGCCCAAGTAACCACCAGGAGTAACTCCTTGTAGACTATCTGCCTGATCTTCGGTTTCCCGTGTGCCTTCCTAGTGGATTCCAGCCCCACCGGCCTCCATGCTCCGGCAACCATGTCTCTGCTTTCTACCACTAGAAATTAGATCAGTACATATTAGACAAGAGATTAGGCCATTATGTTTTGAAGAGAAATGATTTCCAGCTCTCATCACAGCGATAAAAATCAACTCTAAGCCTTTGGTTTGTTTTCATATAAGAAATGGAAAAAATAAATGCCCATCTGTAAGAATTCCCACCTTGAAGTGATTAAACTTTCAGGGCTCAATTCCTCTCAATGTGAGTTGGGTTTGGACTTCCAATTCCATCTTGAATAATGTCTGCTGAAAAGAAAATGACAAGAAGAAGGCCTTCGGTCCTTCAAAGGAAAACAACAACAACACCCCATAAAGAGGGATTCCTTAGTTCTGCCACTGAATCAGCAAACTTTGTGCCTGAGTGGATCTAACCATTCCTGCCCAACCTCCCTCACCCAGCTCCCAGCTCCACCAGGTGTTCTAGGAAACAGTTCTAGAAGTTTAGAGAGCTGAGCTCCTACTCCAGAAAAAAACCCGGAAATGAAAAGTGCCATGCTGATGAAGGCACGTTTAGTCCCGAAGTAACAGGACAACTCGGGACCTTGTCTGAACCTGAGAAACGCTGTTTTGCATTCAAGATCAATGGTATCTATGCATTGTTATCTCACTGACCTCATGACTGCAAACTGCTTCTCAGCACGTCTCAAAAGGTGGGTCCAAGCTGATTGGCTCTTGGAAAATCTTCCTTGTCTGTGGCCAGTAAATGCTGAAGGAGCTATTTAAAGGGGAAGTGGAGGTGGGGGGAAGGCTTGCTCCCCGTTTCTAAGAGATTGCCTTTAGGGGAGGGAAGAGGAACTGGAAAGTGAAAGTGATTTCACATCAGGAGGAGGAAAATAAAACAAGTTAGATGAGTTCTGCTATGACTCAAAGTACATTGTTTAAATTCCACTCATATTCCCCGGGGTGGGTCCCAGGAATAGTCTGTAGGAGATTCAGACTCCAGGGTTTTCTGGGACCACATGATGCGAAAAATTGTTCCAGAAATATTTTCTAAAAAGTAGTTTCCTCCACTTTATCTGTGGGAGACAATTTGCACTTGGAGACCTGGATTTAGTTCTGTTTATTCAGTTTACTAGCACTTGGGTTAGCCCTGAATCACATCACCACACCCTAATCTGTTTTGCCCCAGACTAAATATAGAAAGCCAACCCCTGGAGATAATCTTGGGCAGTTTAAATCTCTGAGTAGTCTAAGATAATAGTTTGGTCTTCCCAGCTGTGAAATAGGAAGTAGTAACACATAATATTGTGTAGTGGCTGGCTAGTTAGCCGATAAATTTACACGCCTGTATTTATTCCTTGAACTCTGAAGGAGGAATACTACTTTAAGACACATTTTTTATTTTTATAAAATTTCTGAAGAGTTTTAGAATGAACCTCCCCAAAATGTGCCACTTTGGCTTGTGGACTGTTTTAAGCTGAGGACAACTAAGCCAGCAAACTCAAGAAAAGCTTTGACCTCTCCCTAACTCCCTAAAAGAATTTAAATAGGAACAAGACAGTGCAAGCAAACCCAGAGCTTAAAAATAGAAGGCGATTGAAGAAAAGATTGCTTTCCTTGTACAGTACACATTTGTAATGAGTACACATTTTTAAGTTTGATTAAAATGTAATCCACATACCATGCAACGCACCCATTTAAAGTATAGAATTCAATAGTTTTAGCATTTCACAGAGCTGTGCAACCATCATCACAATACATTTTTAAGTTTTATTATTTTTGATTGCTTATTGATTTGAGAGAGAGAGGAATAGGGGAAACAGAGAGAGAAACATTGATTTGCTGTTCCACTTATACATTCATTGGTTGAATTTTTATTGACCTGACCTGGGATTGAATGAGAAACGTTGGTGCATGGAGACAACATTCAAACCAACTGGTCTGCCCTGCCAG